GTGCATGACCACATGTTTCATGATGAGGTTCTAAATACAGCCCCACCAAAAAAAATCCATGAAAGCTGGGGATGTGGCTCAGTGCTTAAGCACCCCTGGGTTCAATCCCTGCTACCAAATAAACAAACAATAACAACAACAAATCCTTGAAAGAAAAACCTGATAATGTGGACTGTATTAAATTCCTCTGTAAAAAAAAATCATATTAAGGAAATAAAAAGACAAGTCAAAGACTGGGGGAAACGTTGGAAACTATATGTCTAAAACAAACTTGTGTACAAAATATAGTAAAACACTCAACAGTAACACAACATAATGGGTAAAGATCTGAACAGACAATGCACAAGAAAGATACAAGATGGCAAAGAAGCATAGAGATGACTCTTAGTATCACCTGTCATGAGGAAAGCACCAACTAAGACCCCAAGGTGCACTGCACAACTACTAAGCTGCTAAGGTCTTTACTAAGTGCAGTATCAACCATGAGGATGATGAGCAGCCACAGGAACTCTTATGCATTGCTGGTACAGCACACAACAGCTCACCACTATCAAAAAAACTGGCGATTTTCCCCAAAGTTAGACATGGTATCACCATATGGTCCTAAAAATATAGAAAACTGCCTCAAAAATGTATATCTAGATAACAGCAGGCAATTACATATAGTAGTTCTATTCACAATGCCCCAATACCTTAAGCAATCAGGATGTGCTTCAATGGGTGAACAAATAACATAACTGCTATGAACCCATGCCATGGAGGCCCTGGTGTCTCTGAGCTCCCCCAGGTCTCTACTCTGGTCTGGACCCTGAATTGCCTTTACCTTTGCACACCTCACAGAGGGAAAAGTGAATTCTGAATAGAAACACCTGTAAATGCAGCTGATAAACTCAGGCTCAGTATGCAGTTGCTGCCTATGGAAAGAAATTAAAAAGTTCTGGATGTGGGCAGTAAACTCAGAAAAATGCAAACACAACAACCCAAGCCTGCATCTTTGTTCATAGGAGCTTCCTGGGGAACAACAGACAAACATGGAGGCAACTCCAGGATCCCCACAGAACCACATCTAGGGGAGAACCTGGAGGTGGCTGTCATTAGGGCCCCTGTGATCCACCTCTGATTAGCTTAGAGGACATTATGCTACAGCTTCATACCCCCGTCCCAATTTTAATTTCCTCTTTCCTCAGGTTGCAAATGCATCCTGAGCTTGGATTCTGTTGATTGATTAGCTTGTTTAGTGTTGCAGAGAGCTGTGCCACTACCTAGTCCTGATGCACAACCTCAGAAATTCACTGTTCTGGTTATTCAACATACATTTGCATATTTTAGCTAAAATAGAGCCCATCATCCCATGTTTTCATCCATCAGAATCTTATCTTTATACCCTAATCTTTATCTTTATATCCTACAGTTACCACCCAGTTAATCCCTATCAATGGATAATTAGGTTAATGCTTTCATTAGGTTGGTGCACTGATGCAGGTTAATGCTCTCAGGATCCAGTCATTACACATCTAAATTTTCTCTCATTGACTCACATATGAGATTTTTAAAGGACAACTCATATCTAAACCACAATAGCTATGAATACCATAAGAACATGAAAGGACACAGGGCAGCTATTATATTAGCCTTAGATGCTACACTATGGATATCAAATTAGTATTAAAGATTATAGGGAGATACTATTTTGTTTTAGATGTTATAGTATATATATTATATTTGTATTAGAGACCATAGGGCAGCTGTTATATTAGTTTTTGATGCCATGTTGTGAATATTATTTTAGTATTAGAGGCCATGATGTGGACATTATATTAACATGGAAGCTGTTGTATTAGTGTTCAAGTCCACTCTACAAATACTATATTTGTATCAGAGGCCACATGTGGACACAATAGCATCAAAGACTACTACATTAGCATTAGAGGCTGCACATGGACAACATGTTAGCATTATCACTCCACCATAACAGTATTATGACACTGCCATATCCAGGAAGGTGGCACATACCCTCTGGTGGTCATTAGGACCCAGCACAGAATGCTTCAATTCAGTGGTGTATGGGCACCCCCTGACATTCCTGAAAAATGGATGAAATTCAGTACTGTATCTAGATTACTCAAGGCCATGATTTTGGAAATTCAAACTAAACTGAAACCCAGTATCCTTGTTTTTTAAGAAATGGTGATTGAACAAGTTATTCAAACCATATTGAGTGAAATGAATGTAGACAAAAACAGAAACTCCTACAAAAATTAACTCATAATAGTCCATAACTAAAATGTGGTAAAACTAAAAGAAATCTGAAAAAAAATTAAGAAAATCTATGTGATCTTAGATTTAGTGATGGTAGTGTATATTTGTTTCTGGTATGAGGGGTTGAATGCAGGGCCTCACACATGCTATACAAACTTTCTAATACTGAACTACTTCCCCAGTCCTTGATGATGAGTTTTAACTACAATACCAAATACCAACTGACTGAAAAAAAATACCAATAACATGGACTTTATAAAGTTCAATTTTTACGAAGTGCACTGTTGCAGGCCAACAATCCCAATTACTCAAAAGGCTGGGGCAGGAAGATTGCAAACTTGAGCCCAGCCTAGGAAATTTTTTAAAGGATGGGATATAGCTCAGTGGTAGAGCACTTGCCTAGTTTATGTGAGGCCTGGGGTTCAATCCCCAGCACTACACACACACACAATTTTTTTTCCTACTCTGTAAAACATGGCAAATAGTTATACAAAATTATGTTCAGCATCCCATATCATCAGGGAATCATAAATTAAAATGATAGTGAGGAAGTATGGCACAGCTATTAGAACTGCTGAACTCTAAGAAACAGCAGTGCACCAACATCTGCAGGATGTGAGATACCAGCAGTCTCAGGCATTACTAGGAGAACATGTGGCATGGCCACTTTGGAAGATGATGTGCCAGTTCTTCCCAAAGCAGAAAAATCAAATCTATGACCCAACAGTGTCCCTATAAATTATCTTCATTTAGAGAAATTCTTTGAAAAAGTATGTCAAAACAAAACTAGCATGTAATTATGCATAGCAGCTCTATGATGCTGATCAGATCATAAATAAGAACGTCCTCCCATAGCTGAATGCATAACCAACACAGAATATAAAGGAATGAACTGCCACCCTACACAGAGACATAGATAAATCCTACCTGGTACACTGTTAAATAAAATAAGCTAGGCTGAAGAGGCTACATGCTGTATGGTTTACCTTTTATGACATTCTGGAAAAGACCAAATTATAGAGGAAAAGTTGTGCAGGATGAGGCCCAGGAGCCTCCCAGCACAGGAGTCTCCATCTACATGGAGTTGGGGTGCACCACCCTTCCTGTGGTTTTTCTCATGACCATCCTCCATCCTGAAGCTGCCCTAGAGCCCACCAAAAGTCCTTATTAAAGCACAAGCCCCTCCTAGGCCCCCAGGAGATTCTACAGGATTTAGGAGCTCTGTGCAAATAACCAAGGTAAAAGAATCAATATTAGAACAAAAAATGCTCCTAACACCTCTGTCACTCAGAAAATATGAAGATTTTAGGAGTGCTGTACCAGGAACTGGGTGCAGAGGCTGAATGTGTATTTTTTTTTTTCTTTTAGTTTTTGGTGGACACAATATCTTTGTTTGTATGTGGTGGTGAGGATCGAACCTGGGCCACATGCATGCCAGGAGAGCGCGCTACCGCTTCAGCCACATCCCCAGCCCTGAATGAGTATTTCTTATTATGTCAAAGCCCATAATCTGGAGCAATAATAAATTCATTGCTCATAATGAAACAATGAATTAATTATATGTCAGAAACTGGGAGCTAGATGGGGTGAGAAGTTATGATAAACAAGGGGTGAAGGCAGAGGGATCTATGTCATAAGGGGTCAGAATCCACTGACTGCAGATGAGTATAAACTCACATTTTGCTTAAAACATTCACAGATGGTTCCACATAAACATAGTTATAACTAGCGGATATGAAAAGATTAGAATACATATACACTTCTTTGCATTGTCAGTTGTGTGGATCAAGATGCAAGGTGAAATATGTTTTATAGACTTTTTTAAAGACCTTTATTTTATTTGTTATTTTTATGTGGTGCTGAGGATTGAACCCAGTGCCTCACACATGTCAGATGAGTGCACTACCACTGAGCCACAGCCCCTGCCAGATGAAAGATTTTAATATCACTCTCTAATCAAAGGAGCCAGGACTCTTTGAAGAAATGGCTGATACTAAGAGTAAGACAGTAAATATATAAGTCAGGGTAATTTAAATATCAGAAAGAAAAAACTTTGGGCCAAAACCAGAAAATATGTTAAAGGACAACAGGAGATAATGGAAAGATCTCCAATGGAAAGAATTCCCAATGGTTAAGGTAGGGATGAATTGAGCAGCAAAGTAGTATTTTAAAAAAAGGGGGGGGGGACAAAAAACAGCTTAAGGAAACTATCCAGATGACTGATATATATAAATGACTGAATACACAAACAAATGAGGTTGAGTAGAAACCTCTTGTGCAGAAGAATTCCATATAATTGAGAGAGACACAGTCATCAAGGAGGTAGAGCTAACTCTCCGATCCCTAAGCATGGGCTCTGCATTATGACTTCCTCCAGAAGAACAGACAATGTGGACATGCAAAAAAAGAGTAACCTCACAGTAAGAAACCTGAAAGGCCCTTCTTCAAGCAGGTGAGCACAATCAATACTACCATTTCACCTTGAGGGCATGAGATGATAGAGCTGCTTTTCATGTCAGTGACCAGCTTCCCCAGTCCAATAGCCCCAGGCTAAATATGAGAAACACAAGGAAACCTGAAAGGCACTGCCTCAGCAAGGTGAGCACAGTCAATACTAATATGACAATAAGGACAAGAGATGACAGAGCAGCTCTTCACCTCTGTGACCTGCCTCCCCCAGACCCACAGCCCCAGTTTAAATATGAAAAAAAGGAAAATTCAAAAAAAATTCTAAAAAATACCTGACAAGTCGTCCTCAATGCTCTCAAGGTTATCAGAAGAAGGAAGTTCATAGAAACTGTCACACCAAGAGAAGTCTATGGAGACATGATGACTGGATGTCATGTTGGCTCCTAGATGAGATCCTAGAACAGGAAGACACAGAACTGAGAATCCAAAGGATATGTGACTTCAGTTAATGTTAACATACCATTATTTTTTCTTCATGACAAATGGTCTAAGATGTTAACACTTTAGAGACAGCTCACCAAAGTCATAACAAGGGAAGAAACCAGGTTGAGGCTACCTGGGAAATCTCTGCACTTTCTTTTCAATTTCTGTATAAAGATAAAACTAAGCCTGGCATGGTGGCACATGCCTGTAATCTCAGCATCTTGGGAGGCTGAGGCAGGAGGATTTCGAGTTCAAAGCCAGCCTCAGCAACTTAGTGAGGCCTTAAGTAACTCTGTGAGACCCTGCCTCTAAATAAAATATAAAAAAGGGCTGGGGATGTGGCTCAATGATTAAGTGCCCCTGGATTCAATCCCCAGTACCCCCACACCAAAAACAAACAAACAAACAAAAAACACCATTAAATTACTCTAAAGTAAATCCTTAGGACATGGTTATATTTTCTCAAACAATTACTTATTTAATTATTCATACAGTTAATTACTGGTAACTGACACTCTTAGCTAGTTCTGTATTTTATTATGAACATTCATAACACAAAAATCAAATAGTTCTAACTAATATAAAATTCAAAATATGTGCTTCTTTTACATATTTCATGTTGAAGTAATAACATAAGTAAACTCCTTATATTTTTATGCTGTCACTAAGTTCTAGGTTTGCCTTCTTAAAACTTGATCACTAGAGGGAAAAAAAATGACATTTTAGAGATTCTATTTCAACTCCTGGTTTAACTTTCCTGAAAGAGTGACACTATATATATATATATATATATATATATATATATATATATATATATATATATATATATATATATATTATTTCTATGCATACCTTTTTAGCAGCAATATAATCAAATATTTGTGACTGGGACAAATAGTCAAAGAAATAGTCATCTCCTCCAAGAACTCTGTAGGAAGTGTTGAGCCAAGAGAAGCAGAGGTGTCAGCTTGGTCCAGAAATTATATTAGATGCTGCTGTGTTGTGAGAAAACACTCTACCTTTTAGAAATCACAAGGAGCTATGAATGCCCACACTCTTGTATCTATGGGACTGGAGAAGTAGAAAGATTTTCTAGCATGCAGGAGTCCCTAGGACCAACCCCCAGAACCACACAAAAAAAGAGAATTTGTGTCTTATTTTTGTAATCAAATAGAAAATGAATAATCACTCCTCTTAAGGAAACATGTTGGACCTAAAACACTTGAGACTCTCAGAATCAAAATACTCTCCTTACAGTGTATTGCATACCTAGACCATCATGAACAGTGGTGTCACATCATAAAGCATGTTCACATTAAGCATACCAACAAAAAACAACAAAAAGGCTTTATTGAATGTTGATAAGAAAAATGAACATAATCTAACTTAGGAAATTATTAACACATTGGAAACATATGATACTGACATCAAAATCCTCCAGGACAAGCCAGGCACTTTGACTCATGCCTGTCATCTCAGCTATTTGGGAGGATAAAGCAGAAGGATGACAAATTTGAAGCTGACATTAGCAATTCAGCTAGACCCTGCCTCAAAATGAAATTGTAACAAAGACTGGGACATATGTAGTTCAAGGCTTGCACAGCACAAGCAAGGCCCTGGGTTTAATCCCCAGTGCCAAAAAAAAAAAAAAAATTCTCCAGGTGAGACATCTGACAACTATGGCAGGTACAGAACAACGCAGAAGCCATTATGTCAACCTCCTCAAAATGATTAAAGTAAACCTGCACTTTGTTCAGCTCACAATACTAACATGTCTGATTTCTGCTTCTAATAATTCAAATGCAACCATTTAAATATGATCAAAAGTGCATGTACTTTTCTAATGAATCCAACAAATATGAGCGAGATACTCAACTGCATTCTGAAAGTCACCTTATAAGCATATAGGGGCACCAACGTTAGGATAAAATGTAATCATGGCATTTCCTACATGAAATAACCCTAAATACTAATAAATACATAATTTCAAAAGAAAGACAAATTTCTGAAATCAAAAGCAAATTGATACATTTTTAAATGATATTTTGAACAGAGGCAAAACACTTAAGAGTTCTCCCACAAGAATTCCTGACAACATAAAGTATCATGCTCATTAGAAGGCCCATCCCTTTGTATGCAAGGAATAAGAGAACTTTCTGATGAATATAGAACTTTAATAGGACATATGGAAATGCTTTCTAAATTTGAAAAGAAGAAAATTTATTTTTTAAAAAAAGCTTATTTTTAGTAAATGTATCTGAATTACAAAAAAAGCAGCTACTGACTTGTCTCTTACATTTTGTAATGATTTGCATCTCAGGAGATTTCATTTCTAGTGGTTTTAAATATCATGAAATATCAATAGTTAACATTAAAAATATCATCATCCCTCTTCTCTTTTAAAACTGATTTGAGATTTTCTTAGAATAATTTCATATGAATTTGGAAGACGCACTTTGGTATATGTGTATATGTGTAAATACATGATCTTTTTTTAAATTTTTTTCTGTATTTTTAGTTGTAGTTCAACACAGTACCTTTGTTTTATTTACTTATTTTTATGTGGTGCCGAGGATCAAACCCATGGCCTCGCACGTGCTAGTCGAGTGCTCTACTGCTGAGTCACAACCCCAGCCCCAATACATGATCTTTTGAAACTATACCCCTCATGCTTGAGTCCTGTCAAAGACATCTTCTGTGTGTGTGTGTGTGTGTGGGGTGCTGGGATGGACTCCATGGCCTCTCACATGCCAGGCAAGTGCTCTGCCACTGAGCTGCACACCCAGTCTCAAACATGTCTTAATAAATGGAAATTAATTAAAATCATTTGATTATGAGCATTTCCAAACAAGACAATTCTCTCAAACAAAACAATTCTATCAATCAAAAACAAAGTAAGCTAAAAGAAATTTTTAAAATATTCCTTATTGGTGTAATCAAATAGAAAATGAATAAAAAATAGAAGTTCACAGAATTAAAAATCCTATACAGGGCTAGAGTTGTGGCTCAAAGGCAGAGCATTTGCCTGGCATGTGTTAGGCCCTGGGTTCAATCCTCAGCACCACATATAAATAAACAAAATAAATAAATAAAATAAAAAGATCCACCGACAACTAAAAAATATTTTAAAAATTCTGTAGAAAATTTAAAGAATATTAATTAAAAATTGAATAGGAAAAACCTATTACACAGAACTGAAGGCTATGGGTAATTACATAGCAAAATAACTCTAAAATAAGAAAAATAAATGAATTAATTAGCATACAAAAGCTTGGACTGATACTTAGAGTTCTCCCACTGGATGGGATCCTGGGATCATCAGGGCTCAAGGCTGGCTGTCATCTGCCCTTTAACAAATTCTGATTTTATTTCAAATGTTGATGATCTATAGAGAATAAAAGAGAGAGAAAGGTGACTTTTCTAAATTTATTTTATGGTATGTCAAATTCTGATAATAGTCAAGATAATTCATCCAATGCAGAAAGTCAGTGTTTATACAACAGATGTTATTTGTGCACCATGACAAATATACTGCCAATTAGCACAGCAGCCAGGGAGCTGCTCATCCTAGATGAGCAGGGGCAGAGTCTGGAGGAGGGGGATGGAAGGTCAGGAGGAGGGGGGGGCTGGAAGATAAGTGGGGTCTGGAGAAGAGGCAGGGTCTTAAAGAAGAGGAGGGTTGGGCTGGGGTTATGGCTCAGTGGTAGAGCACTTGCCTAGCATGTGTGAGGCACTGGGTTCAAACCTAAGCACCACATAAAAATAAATAAACAAAATAAAGGCATTGTGTCCATGTGCAACAACAACAACAACAAATTAAAAAGAGGAGGGGTGAGGTCTGCAGGAGGGGCAGGACAGGAAGATGGGAAAGATCTGGAGGAAAGACAGGGCCTGAAGGAGGGGGAGAATGAGTCACAAGGGGGCAGGGTTTCACAGAGGGGTGGGACCTGAGGAAGGGACAGGCCCTGGAACATGAGTAGGACCTAGAGGAGAGGCAGGGTAGGAAGGAGGGGGAAGGGTGCTTCAGGAGGACAAGCAGGGCCATAGAATATAGGTGGGGTCTAGAGGAGAAGCAGGGTCTGGAGGGTCCTGGAGGGGGCTGGGGATGTGGCTCAAGCGGTAGTGCACTCCCCTGGCATGCATGCGGCCCGGGTTCGATCCTCAGCACCACATACAAACAAAGATGTTGTATCCGCCGAAAACTGGAAAATAAAAATTGAAATTCTCTCTTTTTTTTTTTTTTTTAAAAAAAAAAGGGGTCCTGGAGGGGTGGCTTCTTGCTAATTAAACTGTCCACCAAAAGAAAAACGTGTGGCTGTGGTAGCTCAGTGGTAGAGGGCATGCCTAGCATATGTGAGGCACTGGTTTTGATCCTCACCACCACATAAAAATAAATAAATAAAATAAATATATTGTGCCCTTCTACAACTAAAAAAAAAAATGAAAGAAAAACTAAGCGGAGATTAAAGAAAAAGAAAAATGTGGTTCATGAGTTCAGTTCCACAAAAAACATGAGATGTATTTTTAATAAATTCTGGTCTTTGTTAGAAGTAATATATTTAAACTTAAGCAGCTCAAAAGGCTGAGGCAGAAGAATCTCGACTTTAAAACCAGCCTCAGCAAAAGCAGGGCATGAAGCACCTCAGTAAAACCCTGTCTCTATAATACAAAATAGGGCTGGAGATATGGCTCAGTGATCACATGCAACAACAACAACAACAACAACAAAAAAGATAAGTACTGAGTTCAATCCCCAGTACCCAAAAATAAAAATTAAAAAAGTTTTTTAAAATGACATAGTGGGCTGTTAACATATGTACTTTTCAATTTTTTTCTACTATTTTAACACTGCAAGAAAAAGCAAACCATTTAAACACTAAGGAAAACAAGGAAGTGGACTGGGGTCCCCTTCCCTTAGGCTGTACATTCCTCCCTCCCTACACATTCCTCCTTCCTCCCCAGGCAG